GAAGCCGAAAATAAAAGTTTCCGGGCAGCTCCAAAACTGGCGTGTTGGGCTAGCCCGGAATCTGTCTGCGTGCCGACCGCAGCCCACAATGGAATCGGAGCACAAGCTCCGATCCAACGTCACACTGGCGGGACGCCCGGCAATGGGACACGCGTCGTAAATGGGTTAATCCCAAGCCACTGGGCATGGCATGTACATACATGCCATTGCCCATTGTGTGTGTTGAATTTAGTAATTGTTTTTACATATAGATGGCTCCACAAGTACTAAGTCATCAATGAGCTAATTACACGAAGTACCTGTCTCCCCTGTTTACCCTTTTCCTTGATTTTTGATAATATTTTCTAATATTATTACTCTGTTAGTAATGTCAGTCACAATATAGTAATTATAATGTTTATAACAAAAATAACAGTGTCAATATTGATAGCATTAGTAAAAAAAAAGGAAAAGTGAGACTCCTTTGTGGTTAAGCATTAGCGGAGCCATCTATGTACTGAAACATTTAACCAAGCATTGCCAAAGGGAACGCACCTTTTTCGCATCAACACTGGGTTAAAGGGGAGGGGGGCAATTGCTTGTAACTGAAACATAGTTCACAAACATGAAGTGTTTTTATATCATTATGTCCCTGTTGCGGCTAGCATACTTGTCAAAAACCACAAATTTAGAAAATTAGTGGGAATGCAGTGTGAAAATGGATTTTATTATTTTGTGTAGGTACATGTTTTTGTAGTTTTATATTATTTACATATCCCCTTCTTGTGTGTTCCAGAATTCCACTTGTGTTGGCATGTGACTTAGAGGGGCGAGAGAGCTGTAATGATTTTTACTGAGTTCCTCACTCCCACTCAGCATTAAGAGTACAACTTTGACCAGAGTCCTTTGCTGAGCTAACTAGCCTCAAGAACAAAGATGGCGTTGCAGATGAACATTTCGGGCTTACGCCGTAATATGAAAAACATTGCTCATAATTATACAGATGCACAGGTAAGTGACGGATGATTTTGTTAGAGATTAGGAGGAGGCTCATGAGAAAGATGTGAGCTTTTATAAGTTTTTATTGTTCTGTAATGTAGGTCATATTGTGCATAAATTGCTGTTTTTCTTCAGGCTGTTAGCTTTTCTTAATTAGAATATGGTAATAGATGTACAGATGTTAACCTGTAGTTCATGGATTTATATTTATAATGTAACTTCAGAGACAGATGCATGAATTATAAAGGTAGACTTTTTTTTATATGTTTATATTTGATACCATATGTTCATTTATTTGTTATTATATAAACATGAGAGAAACATTTTTGTTTAATAAGCTTAAGCCATCATATTTACAAGGCATTTTGAGTCTGTAAGGAATTTCATGCAATGAACTCTGCAGTTTTGAGAATAAGTGTTAATTGATGTCATTTCATTTGTTTGTTATCTGGAAATGCTTAGGACTACTTTACTCACAAGTAATTTTTTGTGATTATAAAAATAAGTGAATAGATAGTATACTTAAAAAGTAAATTCCAAAAACTAAGTTGCTAAACTGTTGGGAATTTGGTGAAAAGTAAAATTGCCTTCAGCATTTTATTATTTTGTATTGCAAAAATCTTTGGTCACTGGACAGAGTTACTGGAGTCTGGCAGGAGGCTAAAAATGTGTAAGTACCTCTTTCCATAATTTCTAATGACTAATTTATATGAATAGAAATACCTCTATTTTTTTCTGATATGCTGAAACCTAGAGTCTTCCTTAATCAGTTTTACTACAGTACATTTTTCTCTGCTGTGCAGTCTTAGCTTGTTGATTACCTCACTTATGAAAAGGAGTTAGATTAAATAATCTGTTTTTTTATATTTGGATTTTATTCTATACTGTCTAGTCTTATACAAGAGGTAGACTAATCATGATGTAGCCTTTTTTTAAGACAAAGCCAAATGCATTGCACGCCAAAGGTTTCTTCTTTTAATGGAATGTCATAGAGGTTATATTTTCAAATCCATGCTTTACATCAATTTACTCTTTCCAGATAAAAGTAAGAGAAGCAACAAGCAATGACCCATGGGGCCCTTCGTCCACCCTCATGTCTGAAGTGGCCGATCTCACCTACAATGTGGTGGCCTTCTCAGAAATTATGCAGATGATATGGAAACGCCTCAACGACCATGGGCGAAACTGGAGACACGTGTATAAAGCGCTTGTCCTCTTAGAATATCTCATAAAGACTGGCAGTGAAAAGGTGCTTAGAAAAAGTCTTGTAGATAAGTACACAACATAATTGTTGATTGATTAAGGTTATAAATCGATGAAGATGTTAAGAAAATATGCTCTATGGTACAGATTTATTGAAGCTTTTAGGGGTTTTTGTTTTTCTAGAAAAAGAATGAATATTCTTTTTCTTTTTTATGTTTAGAAGAGGCAATCTGAAAGGGAAGGCAATTAATCACTTTAAGTGTATAGACTTTATCATTATTGTTTTTGTGTTTTTTTTTTATTATTGTATTTTTTATTGTTTCTCCAATTTGGGGTGGTAAATATATATGCATTTGGTATTTTTTGAGGGAAAGGAAGTTTGAAAGATTACCAATTGAACAATTAAACTTACTATGTTGACATTTTATACATATTTTCTCTCTCGCTTAGGTTGCAGATCAGTGTAAGGAAAATATCTTTGCCATTCAAACATTGAAGGACTTCCAGTACATTGAAGAAAACAAAGATCAGGGAATGAGTGTGAGGGAAAAGGCTAAAGCTCTTGTCACACTTCTAAAGGTAAGGGAAATGGGGTGTGCCATATGTATGCCACAGATTTCTCAGTGCCATTTCTTGATTGAATTATGTGAGTACTCGGAAAATTAGGAAAGAAAAAGTGATCCTACAAGCCATGAATTATGTAACATTTTGGTTATATTTCTGATAAAGATTGTTGATTGAATTGCATTCTTGCATGAAACTGTTGATAATGCTGTCCTCATCAGAAATATTCAGTGAATATTTGTAGTCATAGCCATAACTTGTTTCTGATTCCTTGCAAAATATTGTTTTATATTCAATTGTTTTCATTTTAATATTTTTTAAGTTTATCTCTATTTTAATTATATAATCTGTTCAGGCTAAAGAGAGGAAATTATGATCTGGTTGTCTCTCTTGCATTTCAGGATGACGAGCGGCTTCGAAACGAGAGAGTGAGAGCTCTGAAGGCCAAAGAGAGGTTTGCCCAGAGTGTATCAGGCATTGGAAGTGACAGTGTAAGTTGCAGACAAGCTGAAGTATTTATCATTTATTTATTTTCTTATTTCTTTAAAGGTCTAGCTAAACTTTTAACAGTGGAAACTGGTGCTATCCAGTCATATTTATTTAAGTAAATTATCTCTTTCTTTGCTCTATCATTGCGTGTGATTTATAAATGTGAAGTCCTGAGCTTACAAAAGAGGCTGCAGGGAGAGCCTAGAATTCTATGAATGAGGGATATGTGTGTGGTAAAGGTATGGGTGCAGTGCCTTGAATGCACATGTATATACCTGTATTATACATCAGTCTATACAGATAGGATGGGACCTTGATGGTATCACATGTAAACTATGAAGCACCTTGATAAATGTCACAGAGAATGGGATTTTTAACTTACTGGTGCAGGTATTGGGATCAGCTCACACCAAGGAGGGGACTTTAGATATCAGAATTTTTCATTTTAAGAAAAATTATTTGTTAATTTCCTTTATTTTACAGAACTCCCATTTCTTATGAAAATAGTAATTGTGAAGAGTCTCTTTGTTATAGAGAAATCAACTTAATTTTTGTTTTTATACTCCATATATTTTAGTCAAGTGTACTGATAGTCTCAAGAATGCCTAATTGAAAAATTCTGATTTTTCAGTGTGAGCAGATTAAAATGTTACAAAGGAAATAGGTGTCCTTACTTGTGCACATGTGAGGAAATAATATTTTTTTATTTGTTTCTTCTTGATTTTACCACTGTCAAGAATAAAGCTTTTAACAGAATTGATTAACCACTAATTTCACTCTCTAAAATTCACAGTGTTCTTATAGAAAGTATTTTTAACGGCTTTGTTGAGTTACTCACGATTCCACGCTTGCTTCACACATCCATTCACCAAACAGCACAAGTTTTTAACAGATGTAGGAAGCCGAAGCTGTACCTTGCCAAAATTTTCTCTCAGTTTATTGATTATTAGAATTATTTGTATTTCTGTATATTTATTTATTTGACTGTTCTTATTGTTTTTGTTGTGATTATTTTGTCTGGTCTATATGTGCATGCTTATTTTATCCCTCATTGCGACAGGGTAATCCTAGAGACCGACGATATGCCGAGGAGTTGACTATTGTCTGTGATGGTGAAAAGGTTCGATCATAGTTATATTTCAACTGGCAGTCTTACCCTTTATGCCGTTGATGGTTATGTAGTTGTTTTTTTTACATTAGGGCTATTAGTAAAATAGCTAACGATGGTAATTAAGCAGTAATTTCTAGTAGGGATTATTGCGTGATACCTTAACATGTTGGTTGGTAATTGGTACTGTTTGGTAAAAGTGATTGCTATCTTAAATCAGTATTGCAGTTATATTTATTATTTAAAGTACTTCTATCCCAGACACTTTAGAGAACAAAATATTTGTTAATGATGAAGAACATCAGAATAGGTTACGAGTGAATACTTTTTTTGAAGATTTGCAAGTCTAGGGCAGACATTAGCGTAAGGGAAAGTTTGGTATTGACAGCAGATGAAGAAAGAAACCTTTATTAAGGCTATGAAGAATTTATTTATTTGTTTCTTATCCGAATGAGATTTGCCTCTCACGCATGTATACAGTTGACACACAAATGTTGGCTTTGTCCACAGCCTGAAAGGCCTTAAGTCCTTTTATTTTTCACAAATTTTGCTGAAGCTAATATTGCTTTTGCACATTTACAGTCCACTGCACACAAAGCAGCAATTCAATCCTGAAAATAGGAAATTACAAGGGGAATGATAATTACTATCATATCACAAGATCAAAAGAAACTTTCTAGGTCTTGTTTAAAGGAAAAGGGAAAGAAAATGAGAAGAATAGGGAGACTTAGAAATATTGACTTTGCAGATATTCTTGAAGATTGAGAGAGTATTTAAACCATGAAGGTAAATTTCCGCAATTTTTATTGGTTTTAGGCTCATAATGATTTTATAGGGTTTTAGGTTTTGAGAAGGGTAATTACACAAGAAGGGATAATACTGAGGATGCTGTATTGTTCAGTGACATTTAGTTATATACCTTTTTATGAAAATAAGTTTGAGTATTCCACACTAGATGTACGTGTGTGCTGTTTTACATATCTAAAGTAGAGAAGGAAATCTATCCTTTTGATGCTGTTTGGTGACAAGATTGTCATTAAATTTGCAATTTATCAATTTCGTAAAGAAGCTAGTGTGAAGTATGGCGTAGCTGAAAAAACTTCGTCATTTGTGTGAGCCGATTGCTTTATCCCCCTTTACAGTTGTTTAAAACTACTTTTGTTCTGCTGATTTATAGTATGTTCTTAACTCTCCTGTGCTTTCACTCTTACTTTCCCAAAGAAGCTTGGGGATGTGTACCTTTATGGAAGAGTAGGGAGAATTTTCCAGCATTCTTGCATTTGTGAAAGCTGCCTGTTATGTTTTTGTTGAAGGCTATTCCCACTTTCCTTCACAGGACATAAGCTCTCCCACTAGTCCCTCTTATCCTGATGTAAGTATCAACTCATCTGTGTGCTTAGTAGTTTGTGGATCGGCTATGACCTGTAACTTGTGCTTTGACATGACAATGCTGTAAGTATTTCAGTATATGTATATATATATATATATATATATATATATATATATATATATATATATATATATATATATATATATACAATGTTTTATTTTGTTTTTCTAAAGGGAGGTTAAAATCCTCATTGTATAATATTTTTAAAAAGAAAGTTTTGCTGAATGGAAAAGCTAATTGTTGTCAGAGATTACACATATATGGTTAGCAGATCCACAATAAAACACTGTAGAAGAGTGCATGTTAAATATTAAGCTACTCTCTGCATGATTGATATTTATGATACATGACAAATCTCTTGAGAAATGTCACAAAGATGATTTTTCAAAGATAGATTTATGACATGAAAGTATGCTGTTTTCTTTGGTCACTGGGTCTGTCTTGATTTTACTACTATTAAGATTATTGTTTTTGAATATCAGATGAAAATGAAAGAGAAACATGGAAGTGGATTATCAGTAAATATATATTTTTGTTCTAAAATACTGGAATTTACATTTTTCCTCATTTTTCATACTTCTAGATCTCCCCCCAACCAAAAAAAAAAAAAATCTTTATATTGATACATTTAAGTACATGTATATATACATTATACACACAAGTGTATTTAATTTACTTGTTCATTTACACATATCTATATTGATATTTACTTATCCTTTCTCTTTTACTGTGCTGTACTCCTCCCCTCTTCCTTCCTTCTCAATTTTACCTGTTCATTAATATTTTTGTTCATCAATTTTCACCCTTTCTTTTTTCTATTTTATCCTTTTTTTCAAAGTTTTTATTCTTTTCCATTTTTCCTGTCTTCCCAACTTACATGAGATGTACAATCATTTTCATTGTGTTCAGTTAACCATCAGTTATATGTAGGCCGATTGTTTTAGTAATGTAACTTTGCAAGTGCAACTTGTTACCATTTTACCTCTTTTTTTAAAGGATATTTTATCATGAATGGGGATGAGTTCACTATAAAGGTATATGTATGGGTGTTAATTTTGATAGTATCATGTATATGGTTAAAGAAGTGGAAGACTCCCTTTAGGAATGATATCAATTTTTGTGTGATGCACTGATGAGAGCAGTTGCAAAGTTTTTTTTCTATTGGTTGTTTCATGAATTAGAGCAGCATGCAGTGTAGCTTCCTTTTATTTATTTATTATTTTTTCTTTTCAATTTCTTGCATATCTGTCTGTGTCTTTGTTTTCCCGAAACATCATTGGAGTGCAGTTTTGCATAGGTTGTCTTTTCCATTGTTTACGAGGTCTTTTATTATGCGTTTTCTTTGCAGACGTATGTAACTAGTTCATCTCGTCCCAATGAAAGGAATGCGTATGGAGTACAGGATGGGCCTTCAGGTCTTGAGCCACGTAAGTACTATTAGGGGAGCTGCTGTTATTTGAACCTCAGTCTTTTATTAAATTTTTTGTATATATGATTAGGCATTGACATGTTATAGTAATCTTTTTATAAGGATGAATGAGAGACTGAACCTCATGGTAAGTTACTAACTCATCAGAATAAGAGACAGGAAAATGTCTGTTACAGCTAAATTATATAATTTGATTATGTACGTGTGTGTATGTGCAAGAAGAAGGGTGAGATTGGGACTGAAAATGAGAAAGAGAGCAGGATTCTTGCCTGCATATCTGCAGAAATCAGAATTCATTAAATTGAAATGTTACTAGTAATGTGAGGAAATCTTTATAGC